TCGTCAAACGAGCCCATTTCCGCATGTGAGGCCAGGTGGTCTCTCTGAGCCTGGGTGAATTCCTCTCTATACGGGTGTTTTTCTAGTTGCTTCTGCGTCTGTGGAGGCTCGGGTAGGTCTCTCTTGTGGACTTTTGCGCTTTTCGGTCTGAACAACCTTCCTGCTGTGAAGGCTCCGTGCACCCCGTCCTCAATTGGCACCGGGACGAAGTCGGCAAAACGGTCGATGTATGACTGATCCAGCTCTGGTTGATCAAATGGTTCCAGAGCTTTCAAACGCGATTCTTTCATCAGGCCTTCAAGGTCGGCTTGAAATGCCGCTCCTCCAAGAGAGCAACCCACCCCTCAGGGTGAGCCTCCTCTTCAGGATCATCCTGAACACGGACTCTCTTCTGAGCTTGCAACGGCTCCAGATCGACTTGGAAAGGGGCTTTTACCACCACCCCATTAGGGTCAGCGTATGGAAAGTGAACCGAAAAGACTCCATGTGGTTCTTCCTCCGGGTCAGAAGCTGGTGGCGTTAGGTATGCATCTTCCAGCTCCCGCGCTCTCCCGTAGTCTTCTTTTTCCTGCTCTTCGCTTTGTTGTTGTCCCTGCTCCTCGACTTCGTTATCTTCAGCCATTCTGATGTCATCATCCTCGAGGTCCTCGATATCAGTGTCTTCATCGGTCTCTTCGTCAAGGATGGCCTGATTCGCCGTCTGGTCTTCCGGGATTTCAATCTGTTGGATCATCTCTCCGATGCTCGCAGGCAGCGGCATCCGCTCGCCTCCTCCTTCGAAGAACGTATACTCGTCAAAGACAACATCTCTCGTTGCAATGACCTTCTTCAAGAGAGGATCCAAATTAGGAAGATATTTGTAGACTTATAACCGATGAGGTATCCGATGTGAGCTCTCGGGTCGAGCTTCCACCTCTTCCTCAATCCAAGCTGTGCATTTGCTGTCATTGCGTAGGCTCGGCAGCCGTACGCACGAAGATGTGAGCTGATTTTTCTTCCCTGTGAACAAGTCAATGGGAGACTTCCAGTCGGCTTCTCCTTCGTTAGCGTTTTCAGCGGCGAATCGAGGCTCTCTTGGCGTTCGGTTTCGGAGGTAGCAGGCTGCTTCGATGATCTCTTTCCATAGTGAATGCGGTAGTCGAGAGGCAATCCTCATGACTCTCGCTCTCTCGGTAGAGATCCTCCTGACCTCTCGGCTCCACCATTCTGGTCCTGAGTGTTGGAAGCTGACATCGCCTTTGTCATCCCTTTCTTCCTCATCCAGGCTGAGATTTTCTTCGTGAAGAGCTCGCCGTCAGAGCGCACGACATTCGTCTTAAATCCAAAGCGAGCGAGCATAAAGGAGGAAAAGTCTTTCAAGACAGCTCCGTGTTCCTTTGCCTTGTAGGTCTTCATGAAGTAGGAAAGACCATTCCAGAGAAGGCGTCTGTGATAAACATCACACGGACGTAGTTCTCGTGGTCTCTCGCAAGGTCGGTCCAGTCTATCCAGATCTCGTAGCACGGCTTGTCTCTTTCCTCGTCAGGTGGACGGCGGGAGACTTGCCTTCTGACCTTCCCCTGAGCACAGTACTCGCATTCGACGGTTTTCGGCCCTTAATCCGGACCCCTTTGTAGGCCTAGCTTGTGCAAAGCCATTGGACCAGGGTGACCAAGACGGGCGTGCCAAAGCTTGCCGTCTCCTTGAGAGGCAGGTCGAGGATCTCTTGAGCCGGCTCTTCGAGCTTTCCTTGTCTCCTTCTTCGATGCCTGGAACGCACTGTTGAAATCCGGGAATTCGGTTTCCACGGGCTGGTATTCAACAACAAACTGCTGATATTTCCTCTCGGTGATCCCGATAGTCTGGCCCTTTCGGACTAGCCTCATAGGCTCAGACAGCGTATCCCAAAAGATCTGATCGTCGTCGATAAGAGTCTGCAAAGAAACCAGGCTCGATGAGAAACCGGGACAGTAGGCAACCTTCTTTAATCGGAGTGTTCGGTGGGAGCCGTCAGGCATCGTCGTTGCGACATTGACTCGCCCGAATCCTTCGATTCGAACGAGAGTCACCGGCGACGATAAAGTCATTCTTGGCCTTTTTAAACGATCGGAACCGACTGAGCTTGTTGTTGATATGAAGAGATGCGCCGCAATCAAGGAGGTTGAATTCTTAAGCGGATATTCCGATCCCCTTAGGCCAGGGGACTCAGCTGAGAACACGAAAGCTGGGTTTGCTGAGCCACAAGCCTTCCTCATCCTTGGTTGCTATTTCTGCATTTTCTTTCGAATATCTTCAATTCTCCTTTTCAGGACAGGATCGTCAGCGACTCTCTCGTGTCATCTTGAGATACCTTTCAGGGGCGGATTATAGCCCTCTGGTCTGGCTTCTTCGATAACCTGCCAGCAACCTCGAGCTCGTGTCCCTTGCGTCTGCAGGCAAGGCAGGGATCTCTTTTGGAATATGGCTCCTTTCCAAGGGCTCTCTGTCCAGCTTCTTCTTCTTCGCTGGCGGTACTTCGTCCGCATCGTCTGCGTCTGCTGCTGCTTTGTCCGCATGAAATGCGCCTCCTCTTTGATAGCACCTCGGGTTTTCTGCTTCTCTGCTTTCGGCCAGATGCTTCACATCTCGCACGACTCTCTCAACAGTCCATTGACTCTCCGTCGGAGCTTGGGCTGCAAGAACGGCGGCGACTGCGGCCGTTGCTGCAGCGGCCATCGCGGCTACTGCAGCTGCTGCCGGATTGTGAACAACGGGGTTAACAGGAGCAGCAGCAGGAGGACCATATCGGTCGAAGTCGAACAGTTTCCCTGGGTAGCCTCTGATTTTGCGTCGAGTATCCTGCTTCCTTGTTCGTACTGGTAGCCTAGGAGTTATCCAGAGGCCTAATCAATGTGGCAACGTCTCTAAGCCACTGGCCCGTTTGGGCCTCCATTAGCTTATACTTATCGGCGTCAGACATTATGTCTTCCCATTTGTCGATCCAGGAGTCTAGATCCTTTGCGTTAAATCTCTTTAGGTGGGTCGAATACTTGGTCCGGTGAGATTCATCATATATCCCGCTTCAGGGGCCGTCGACGCTTCTAGACGTTTAAACCACTGACGAATTGGAAGGTCTTCGTCGAAGGCGTTCTGCTTCGAGGATACCACTGATTCCTGCATCGCTATGCGAGCGTTGGTAACCAGTTTAGTCTCATCTTTATACTCTTTCCTCCTGATATCATAGTCCCGCATCGCGTCGTTATAATCTCTTCTGAACGGCAGAGAGGTCAGCGAGTCTAACAGCATCAGGGGCGTAGTGGCGGAATTCAGGTCGCTCAGGAGGTTCGAGGGGGTCCTCGTTGGTAAAGATCAGGCTATGGATCGTCTTGTCAGTTCGATTCCTGAGCTCCCTTCTCCATTTGTCCCAGTTGCTTGGTCCTGAGAGGATCGCTCGTGCAGGGGCGGCAGAAGACTTCGACATCTCGTTGATTTGAGAGTGGTTTTCGGTCGGAATGGAAGTTACAGGAACGTAGTTCCTCCCGGGCTCATGACTGTCACGAAAAGTAGGGCCAAATAGGCATAAAGTTAGTATTTCAGAATCGTCCGGTGCTGCTCCATTTTTCCTTCTGTTCTCTGTGTCTGTTCCTTCCTTCCTCGCCCTTTTATTCCTGGCCACAATCTCGATCTTCTCCGTCTGCCTCACACCTCCGTCAATCGTCGGGGGTGGCTGCGCCCCCCCCCCCACTTTTTCCTAGGACACCGTCCCTGACGGCCGGGCTGACTGTCTCAGCCGACGCATCAGAAAGCAGGCCTGACGTCCTGGCTGACTGTCTCAGCAGGAGCATCAGCAAGCAGGGAACCTCTAGAGGTCCTACGAGCGGCTTCGCAACAACCTTCGGAACCGGACCCCTAGAGGGACTACCCAAGGAACAGACTGGAAATCCCCCCTCGAGCTCTTCACGAAGAAAAGGGCCTCGCTAGCCCACCTTCGTGCCTACGGCTGCAAGGCATACGCAATGACTGCCGATGCACAGCTAAAAGGAAGAAGAAAAGAAAGCTTGATCCTAGAGCCTTTGTTGGTTACCTCGTTGGTTATAATTCTACGAATATCTTCCGGATCTGGATTCCTCTTCTACGGAAGGTTATTTCGACTAGGGATGTGATTTTCGACGAATCTAGCTTCTTCGACGGAAAGAGGGATCAACAGCCCCTCTTACTCTCACAACGTCAGCTAATTCAGAAGATCCAAATTCCCCCTTCCCAACAGTCTCAAGAAGAGGCCCTAGACGAGGAAACGGAAGAAGAAACCGACGTCGAAGCAGTAGAGGATAACGCCGACTTCGAGGAAGAAGAAGAAGAGGAAGCTGCTAGATCAGATGATCTAGACGAAGAAGGAGACTATAGGAAAGCGGTAGAGCTGGAATACGCCTACCTCCCTACGCCTCCTCTTACGGAACAAGAAGAAGATCTAGAAGCAGCTTTTTCAGTCAGTCTTCCCGTCTCGACCCCTAAGGGGTGGGAAAGGCACCTCTCTCGAAGGATTACCCGGCTGCCTTTTGTCCCTGCTTCGAGAAGCAAAGGAAGGTATAGGGCCCGATACGGATACTAAAGAAGACCAACCTCTCCCTATTTCGATCGTTTTCCGACTTCTACCTAACGCCAATAGAAGACGGTTCCCACGGAGCGTTCACAGCAGGCCGGCTTTTTAAGCCAATATCAGCAAGGAAGGTACATAAAGAGACCTCCCGGACCCACCAGCAAACCAGAAGCAGCTAGAAAGACACCCTTTAGAGACCAGTTTTCCAGGCCCAGAAAGACCACCTAGCCTCACACGAAGAGATGGGGTCTTTCGAAGAGGTCCTAAGGAAAAAGCAAGAGGAAAACAGGTCCTTGGCTGCAAGTGGGTCTTTATCTATAAGACTGATAAACACGGCTTCCTTCAAAAGTGCAAAGCCCGGCTAGTTGTCTGTGGGAATCAACAGGAAAAAGGGGATTTACCTACTAGGGCAACTACCCTAGCAGGGATGTCTTTTCGGACCCTTATGGCTATAGCAGCAGAATTCGACCTCGAGCTCGATCAGATGGATGCAGTCAACGCCTTTATTAACTGCCCACTCGAGGAAGAAGAAGTTGTCTACATGCGCCTTCCACCAGGCTTCCAAAAGCCAGGAAAGGTTCTACGGCTTAGGAAAGCTCTATACGGACTACGAAGATCACCCCTTCTTTGGCAACAGCATTTAACAGGTTCCCTCGAAGCCCTAGGATTTACGAAAGTCCCTCAGGAACCGTATATAATGCAGAAGGGTAAAATCACGGTCTTCTTTTACGTCGATGACATTATCTAGGCCTACCCGAAAGAGGAAGAAGCTGCTGCTAGGGAGGCTATACGAGGCCTGCAACAAAGGTATAAGATGACTAGGCTAGGGGAGCCAAAGTGGTTCCTAGGGATACGAATCCTTAGGAATAGGTCCCAACGGACTATCTGGCTTACCCAGGACGCCTATATCGATAAGGTCGCTTATAAATTCCTCCCTAATTCCCTCGACAAGAAGCTTCCCTCTACGCCTATGTCAGACGAAGAGCTTTTACCTGATCCGTCCTTTCAAGCCAGGGAGCAAGAGAAACACCAATATCAACAGAAGGTGGGCTCCCTGCTTTTTTCAGCTATTTCTACTAGACCGGATATCTCTTTTACGGTCTCCCGGCTAGCTAGGCACAACCAGAATCCTAGCCCTAGGCATCAAGAAGCAGCAGACAGAGCTATCCTTTATCTCTATTTAACGAGATCACATGGTCTGCGCCTAGGAGGGCAGGGAAGGAAACAAGCTGCCGAAATCTTCCTTTGTTCGAGCGATTCGTCCTTTGCGGACAATTCCTTAGACAGAAAGAGCTCACAGGGGTATATCATGTCCCTTTTTGGAGGAACCATTGCTTGGAGAGCTTCGAAGCAGGCTACCGTTACGACTTCTAGTACGGAGGCAGAGCTACTAGCTCTTTCAGAAGCGTCAAAGAAGCGATTTTCCTTAGCCGGCTGCTAATATCGTTACGACTGCAAATTCCGACCCCATTAGCTATAGAATGCGATAACACGCAGACTATACGAATTCTTACGGAAAACAGCAAGTTGTCGACCCGGCTACGGCATATCGATATCCACCAGCATTGGTTACGCCAAGAGGTCCAAAGGGGACTTATTTCCGTCCGTTAGGTTCCAACGGCATCGATGAAAGCCGACGGTCTTACGAAGCCCCTGCCGAAGCAGAAGCTAGCTATCTTTTTACAGCAAATTGGGCTAGAAGACGTTCGAGAGAAGCTGTCCTTGGAAGCCCGCCTTAAGAGTCTACGAGAGGAGCTAATGGCACGTACGAGAAGGTAACGTCTGCAGCCGAAGAAAAGGAAGAGGTTTTTCCCTTTAGAGGGCCCCCTATTTTAATTGGGTTTTTCCCCCTTTCTTATAGGACTTTCCCCTCTTTAGGCCCCTTTTCCTTAAGTAGGTCTGAAAGAGCCCAGGGACCCGAAAGGGCCCTGCTTTCCTCGAGTAAAGGGAGAAGTGCAGAGCTAAGAATCTCCTCTATACGCTCACCAGCCCGAAGCCGTATTAGCTATGCCCTTAAGGGCAGGCCATAGCTAAGGGTGTGTCATGAAGCGTGGCCTGATTTCGCAGTTCTCGGAGATATCCCTGGCACGAGGACTAAGGAAGCTGAAAAACACCCGGTGTGGAAGAAGGAAGAAGGAGCTGAAAAGAGGTGCAGAAAGGAGGGTGGGGGCATAAGGGGAAGCAGAAGTGGCGATGGCTTCCTATGGAGGTGGCGAGAGATAAGACGGATGTGCCGGCAACGGCTGGAAAGGAGGGGAAAAACCGGCAAAAAGCTCGGTAATCGAAAGGACATTAGTGGCTTCTTTAAGCAGGATCTTCTTTGTTAATTAAGATGCTAGAAGGGTATAAAGAGGGGCGTTGGATAGAGGAAAGAAGGACAATCAAGGAAATATAACAATCACTCCCCTACTGCAATTGCTGCCCCCGCAAGATTCAAACATCTCTGCCCTGCCTGTCCGACCCCTTACTTCTACTTTCACCTTCGTGCATTTTATATGCACTTCTCGCATCTCTCTTCGCGAGAATATTAGCCTATCGATATAGCCTTTTATACTTATCCTCTTATCTAGCTTAAAGAAATACTAGTCTTAGTATAAGATTTTATTTATTTATAAGGCTTTTTATATTACCTTATACCTTTACTTTAAAATTACTTTAACCTTTAAGTATTACTACTTAATTATCTTAAGGTATAGCCTAACTATACCTTAACTTAGTATTAAATTATTATTAAAGCTAAGTAGCTATATTCTTACCTTTTATACTAAGTAGTATAAGAGACTAGTATATAAGTAAAGTTATAAGGAACTTAGAAGATATAAAGAAACTACCGCTATACTTATAAGAATATATAAAGTCTAGTATACTATCCTTCTTTCTAAGTATTAAAAATAACTATATTTCCTTTCTTATAGTCTTAAAGGAACGCTTCTTAATAGAGTTATAAGAGCGCTACTAAGAGGTATAGGCTAATAAAGTACTTAGATATATAGTACTAATATATCGGTAGGGTATTAGTAGGGAATCGTGCCTACCCTACTTATATATTATAGACCTCTTACTACTCTAACTAAAGAGGAAAAATCCCTCTTCCTATAAGCTTTAGTCTTATAACGAGGAGAATATAATATATATAGCGTAGTACCTCTAGCTATCTTTACTACCTAACTAATCGTACTATAATACGTATTCCCTTATAATTTCTAAAGCTTCCTTTTTTAGTTACTTAGTAGAGATAGCTACTTAGAGAAGACTATATAACGCTCCTATAGCGCGACGTAGTAGTTAACTAGTTAAGGCCTCTTTATTATATATATTAGGTATCTACTTAGGAGATAAAGAACCGGAAGATATATCCTTAGAATAGACCCTTATTATAGACGATATTCTAACTATATTAAAGATATCGCTACTTATAGGCATAAGACTATCGACTTATAAAGAAAAGCTTATAGCCCTATAAGCGCGTATTAAGGAGCTAGAGGAGATAAAACGCCTATAAGACCGCGTTATATAATTAAAGGAGGAAATTACTAAACGTGCCGGCGCTATCGCTATTTATTTAGGAAAGTATCGATAGTCCTACTCCCTTAAATCGGATAGTAGTCGCGGTAGCGAGGTTAAGATTAAAAACATCGCTTAATTATCTTAACCTACTAATATATAGAAACGTCTAGACTAGACTTACGATCTAAAAGACGCTTTTAAGGTAGCGCTTAAACGCTTTTATCGCAACGAAATAAAGATCCTCTACGCGGTAGATTATATATATAGCGACTATAAAGTAAGATAGCGCCGATACCTTAAAGAATAGACGCTAATTAACCGAACTAAATATAGTATAGATTAAGTATACTTTAAAGAATAGATACTCGTCTTAATTAAGGATACTATAAATAAAGAGATACTATTAGCGATATAATTAAAGGAGGCTTACTAACGAGAAGGCTAGTCCCCCTTAGAGTTTAGCTTATACCTTAACTCCTTAGAGAGGTATTTTAAACGCTTATTAAAAAAGGCGCGTGCTCTTACGTTTTTTACTAAGCTAGAGCTATAACTTTAATACTAAATTAACCTCTATTTAATACCTATTTATACCTACTAATAGGAAGAGCTTATATAAGTCGCTTAATATTATTAAGATACTACTATTAATAAGAGGCGACGTACTAATACTACTTTTACCTTTAGAGGAACTAAGAATAGAAGTAGTACTATACCTTAAGGCGGTATATATAAGGGAAGGAATTAAAGAGGCTAATAAGCTAGGCCGAATTATTAAGGAAATACTACCGATTCGACTAATAACTAGTAAGCTAGCGATATACTTACTAGGGGCCGAACTAAGGGACGTTATTAAGGAAGAGGATCTTTTACTTAATTAGGAATTATATATTTCTAATATAATAAGCTAGGATACTTATTTATAGAATATACTAATTCTTTAAAGGTAGAAACCCTAGTAAAGACTCTTAAACTTAATACTATAAATAGGGAAAAGGTAAGATATTAAGGTAAACGCCTCTCTCTTAGTAAACTTAATACTTATAGGATAGTTACTTAAAACTCCTATAATAATATTAAGGCGAAACCCTATTAAAGTCCCTATATACCTAGATACTTATAGTACTATTAACTTTATAGATATATACTTTACCTAATAATATAGATTACTATAAGTAGCGCGATTATACCTTAAGTTATTAGGGCTTAGTAATAGTAAGGTAAAGGAGTATAAAGTATAGTTAGTATCGCTCTAAATAATAAATATAAGAGGCACCGAAAAGATAATTACTTATTTCTATATTAGTACTAATAAGTTAACGCTAAATAATTAAGTACTAATCCTTTTATTAGTTACTACCTTAAAGGATAAACGTATTTATATTATCTTATAGAAACGATAGTAGTAGTTTAAGTATTAACTAAGTAGCGAAACCTTATAGAATCCCTATAGATTCCTTTAAGAATATAGGAATAAGGTAAGGGTATATATAATAGCGCTTAATCTTAAGCTAATCCTACTACTAGATAAAGATAAAGATAAAGGGATTTTATAGGAAGAATAGGCCGAAATCCTACTAACTCTCTACTAGTTTAAAGATACCTTCTTAGCTAATAAATCCGATTTATTACTAGCTAAAAAGGGAATAGATTACTTAATTAATTTAATCCTTAATATAGAACCTCCTTATAAACCGATTTACCCTCTATTATAAAGGGAACTCTAAGTATTACGTAACTAGATCTAAGACGCGATAAAAAGGAAAATAATCTAAGAGTTAAAGAGCTTAGCTAAGGCGCCTATCCTTTTTATTTTAAAAAAAGATAGTACCTTACGGCTATATATAGACTACTAAGGACTTAACTAGGTTATATAAAAGAATCGGTACCCTTTACCCCTTATTTCGGAGATTATTAACCGCTATTAAGAAGCTAAGTATTTTTCTAAGATTAATATATAGAATATATATTAACGTATTTAAATTTAGGAAGGAGATAAATAGAAGACCGCTTTCTAAACGCATTATAGATATTTCGAATACCTAGTAATACCCTTTAGACTTACTAATATACTAGCTACGTTTTAGAGCTATATCTATTAGGCGCTTAAGGGGCTTATAGATATAATCTACGTAGTCTACCTTAACGATATCCTTATATACTCTAAGATAAGAAAAGAATATACTAAATACTTAGGATAAGTAATAGAAAGGCTAAGGGCTATAGAGCTCTATATAAAACTAT